CTGAGCTACAAATTCTGGACTTAAAGGAACTTTTCATGGCACAGCATGCCAATATCTACCTGCGTTTGGATGGCGACATTGTTCTCATTTATAAGAAATTTGAAAGAAAATACATTATAGAGTTAATATTAGTTAATCAAACAAAATTAATAAAAACATATGTTGGTGAAGGAGTTGAATAATTTGGGGAAATAATCTTCTCTCTTGTTAGGATTTCTCTGTCGCCAGGAGCCTCTCAGCTTTGCAAATACTATAGAATGATGTGGTAAGCAAAATAATCCCCTCCCCAAAAGATGTCTACATCCTAATCTCTGGAATCTATTAAAATGTTATGTGATGTCACAAAGGGGAATTAAGGTTCAAATGGAATTAAGATTGCTAGTCAACTAAATTTAAAATAGGGAGAATATCCTAGATAATCTCGGTGAGCCTGATTCAGTCGGTTTAAAGGCCTTAAAAGCAGAATTGAGTATGATGAAGAAGAAATTCTGCCTAAAGACAGCAGCTTTGGTTTGTGCCCCGGAGTTCCAACCTGCCCTTCCTAATTGCTTGCCATACAGATTTTGAACTTGTGTAACCAGATCCTTCAATCAAATAAGTCACTTCCTTGTAATAAATTTCTTAATGTATATCTCCTGCTGGCTCTTTTTCTCTGGTGGAACCCTGATTGATACAGATTTTAGTATCTGAAAGTGGGGTGCTGCTGTAACAACTACCTAAAAAGTATGGAAGTGGCTTTTGAATTGGGCAGTGGGCAGAGGCTGGAAGAATTTTGAGAAGCATGATAGAAAAATCCTACATTCCTTTGGACAGACTGTTAGTAGAAATATGGTATTCACAACTCTGCTAGTGAGGACTCAAAAGGTAGTGGGGGGCATGGTAGAGAAACATATATTGCCACAGAAAATAACTAAATCATTTAAAACAGACTGTGGGTAGAAATATGGATGTTAAAGTCACTGCTGGTGAGGTCTCTGAAATGAGGAAAATGAATCCATTTGTATAGTGTCAGCCAACTTAGCTGAACTGTGTCCTGCGATTATGTGGAAAGAACTTGTAAACAATGAACCTGGATATTTAGCTGAGGAGATTCCCAGGAAAAAGGTCGAAGGCACAGCTTGCTGCTTATAGTAAAATGTAAGAGAAACAATATGAGAAGAATTATATAGATTGAGGGAATAACTGTCAAGCAAAATGGAATCAGGACTGATGATTGGGGAAATTCTCAGCCTACTCAGATTGAACAAGATGTGAAAATTAGGAGCTTCACTAGCAGGAATGAATGTTCTGGGGAGAAAGCCAAGGGTATAGCAGGACAACCTTTGCTAGTGTTTTGAAAGGATCACAGCAGTCAATCACACAGACGGCTCTTTGCAAAGACTAAACACATGACTTATAGATATCCTCAGCCACCTCAGCAGAAGCCAGGAATATAATTCCTCGGCAGAATTCAAGTATATAATTATTCAGGAAGTAAATGTGAAGGAGTCTCTTGTCTAATGAAATGAATCCCTGTGACATATACAGGAGGCACATAAGGTTTTTGCAAACATCATATCAACAGAAACACTGACGGCTTGAACTGAAAAGGATAGAGAGGACAATTTAAAGAAGGCTGTTGTACATCAAAATTCTATAGGCATGAAACAGATTGATAAAACTACTTCACTGGAAACATTACTACCTTCAATGATAAAGGAAGGATGGTTCAGAGGATGGAGCCTGGAGCACAGAGGGTAGAACTTCAGACCACAGAGGATTAGTCCCAACCCTTGAAAGCAAGAGTTTTCCTAGATGGATTGCTACATTTCTTGGTATAGGCGATTCCTTTTTACTATCCATTTTATCCCTTTTTTGAGCTGGAATGTCTGTAACAGT